GAGGGGACAGGTGGACAGGTGCTGCCGGGACTACTCACGTAGCCGCAGGCTCGGCAGTGGTGGCGGCGGCGCGTCAGGGCGTTGAAGGGCTCCCGGCAGCGCATGCACATGGTCACCATCTTGTCCCGGACCCACTGCGGCGCCCGGAGGCCCAGCTCCTCGGACTGCAGCTGTCAGGCGGTAGGGTGGGCGCTTCAGGACCCCCTTCTGGCCATGCCCCAAGGCCCTGGGGCCCTCTGTCCACTGACTGGTGGCAGGGGTCACGTGTGCTGTGCATTCCAGGGGCTCCCATATGAACTCACACAGACTATAACGGTGGGTCAGGTACTATGTGAGGAAGCTGAGCCCAGAGAGGTCGAGGGACTCAGCAAAGACACCCAGCAAGCCAGAGTTCGGAGCTCAGAGTGGAAATCAAGTCCCAGACACTCTCCCTCTCCCACCCCACCCGCCTCCCACCTTCCCTTGGTCTTAACATTTCTTGGGCACTTTCAACCCAAACCTGCCCGCCCCACAGCCCAAGCCACCTAGACGGGAAATCCTTCCTAGGGAGGGCTGCATATAGAGGCTACCAAAGGACATTTTTGCTAATGGGAGAACCTTTGGCACTGAACCTCTGATGTGGGGCTGGGTCCCTTTAAATCAGTCCTGGTGGGTGACATTCCCCTGCCCTCCAGGCTAGGCTGGGCAGAGCAAAGTGAGGGCATAAGCTTGTGTGAGGCTGGTGGCTCAGGGAGGGATGTAAAGTCTTCATTTACTTCCTGCTCCTGGGTGTCTCCCTCAGGGCCCTGGACCGCAGCCTTGAAGGTTTCATTCCGCTTCTCGATTTGGTCAATGGCCGCTTGGCAGGCCTAAGGGGGTACGGGAAGTGGTTAGGGGGCGGCAGGGAAGGTTCGCTCATCTGTCCATCCACTCGCACTGTCAACAGACATTGCTGGAAGCCTACTGGGTGCCAGTTGGTGGATTCTAAACACACTCCGGCTGACTCAGGGGAGGAGAAGTTGTTAGCCCCAGACGACAGATGTGAAAACTGAGGCTCAGGGACATTAAGTGACCTGCCCAAGGCCACCCAGCAAGGCAGTGAAAGGTCTCATTCCAAACCACCACAGAGCGACTCCTGAGGAAGCACAGGGAGCAGCTGGGCACTCGTGCACACGCACACACACCCCTCCCTCCCCCTCAGCCTGGGTGGGTAGGCTGGGTTCAGAACCCCAGGGGCCCTGGAATGTTCTGATACCTGTATCCAGGAAATCATTTCCTCCTGGGACCTGCTCGGAAAGTGAACACAGGTGTTGAGGAGAGCAGCTGCTCCCAGTTTTCCCGCCCTGGCCCGGGCCCCAGCTCCATGCCTACCGGGCTTGCAGCTCCAGAGTGCGCTGCTTCCCCGACACCAGGAAGGAGTGGGGGAACTCTGCATCAGTCAGCTCCCGCACCTGCTTGGGAACCAGAGGGAGATGACTCGATCAGACTTGTCACACCCTGCCCTACTCCAGGTACCGTGGGGTGGATGGAGGTGGATCATGCCCAGGGAACAATTCGAATTTGAGGGACAGGGATCAGGACCTTCTCCACGGCCTCTCAAAATCTGCAGGGCCAGGCAAATGCACCTGCAACTATGTTGCACTCTGAGCAAACAGGACGTCAAGGCTCCTGGAATTTTAGCAGCAGCTAAGTTGACTCCGTGTGAGGTTGGAGTGACAGTTCCCGACAAAGGATTCACCAAAAATGGAAATTGGGTCATAAATTGGGCTTGGGGACACAGCTTTTTCAAGAGCAGACCTAAGGCCTAGAATAAGACCCTCTATCTCATACAGTGAAGGAAGAAATTGGTTGCCCAATCCAGAGATCCGACAGACCCCCCACTTTCCCATCTTTCACTGTCTTCCTCCCAGAACCCCACAAGTCCACGGCCATCGTGAAGGCTGCCAGTGAGAGAACCCTTACTATGTGCCGGCCACTGAGCTCAGGGCTCTCCATACACGTTCGCATTTAACTGGTACAACTGCGGATCCCAGCGATCAACCCTAACGCTTAGCTGCTAAGCCTCCCGAGGGCAGTGGCAGCCAGTGGCGATCTTGCAGAGGCCTCTAGGCTATCTGCCAGTTTACAAGAAATATGGGGGACCGTGGGACGTGTTGAGTGACACCTCAGGGGTGCAGTCAGCAAAACACAGACCGTGAGAAATGCTCCCGGAGAATGAACTGATTTCTTCAATTACTACATGAGAAGAAAGAGGAAGGAGGGGATGTGTAATGATTAGAAGGGATGTCAGAAACACATCCCAAGTGATGCAAACACATCAGCTGTGAGAAGACATTTACGAGTCAAGGAAAACCAAAGGATCTTAATATCATTAAATAGTATTAATTTGCTAGATGTGATAATGGTACTGTTGTCACCTTTTATGGCAAAAAAAAAAAGTTCTTATCTCTTTCAGACACATACTGAAGTATTTATAGGTGAAATGATTATGGGTCTGAGATTTGCTCTTAAATAATCCTGTGGAAAGAGGATTAGGAGGGGGATGCTGGGGAAACAAGACTGGCTTTGAGTTGACAATTGCTGAAACCAAGTGATGAGCGTACAGGGGTTCACTGTGCTACTTTCTCGGCTTAAAACTGTCCATAAGAAAAAGTTAAAGAAGGGGCGCCTGGGTGGCTCAGTTGGTTGGGCGACTGCCTTCGGCTCGGGTCATGATCCTGGAGTCCTGGGATCGAGTTCCGTGTCGGGCTCCCTGCTCAGCGGGGAGTCTGCTTCTCCCTCTGACCCTCCCCCCTCTCATGCGCTCTCTCTCTCAAATAAACAAATAAATAAATAAATAAAAAAGAAAAAGTTAAAGAAAATCCTGACAGTGATCTTGGGAGAGAGATGTTACCACTCATTTAGGAGATGTGGAGATGGAGGCTCAGAGAGGGCAAGAGACCTGCCTGAGCTCACACAGCAGCTAAAGGACAGAATGAGGATTCAGATTCAGGGTTTTGGCCCCCAAGGGGAAGGGGGAAGAACATCTATTTCCACCCCACCCCCAGAGTCCCGTAAGCACAGACCTGTCCCAGACAGTGTGAAGGGTCACAAAGGGGAACTAAGACGTAGACAAGAGCCCTGGTGTGGGGAACTTTGTTGTTCTACCTGCCACCTGAGCCCCTCTGCTGGATCCCTGCCATGTGGTGACCAGGCCTTCGCACACCCTCAGGGCGGCCCACTGTGTCCCAGGGAAACTGAGTCCAGGTATGTCCTTCCTCACGTTAGGCCCACTCTACACTTTGGGCCCACAGAATCGGTCTATTCCCTCTAGAAGGGGCCTAATGTGATTTGGACTTGAACCCCATGACAATGGGGAGGCTCTGAGGGTTGATAAATGGAGAAGCTCATATGGAAAGAGATGTTTGGGAAAGCCACACCAGCGGCTGTGTGCAAGGGACGAAGAGGGGCTGGATCTGGGGAAAATGGGCCTGCCTGCACCTGGGAAGAGAGAAGGTTTCTCCCTGGAGGATGATATCGGGGAATCTGGCAAGACTCCATGACTAATTGGTGAGGGAGAGGGGAGAGGGAAAGAAAGGAGACATCTAAGGTTTGGGGCCCAGAGGTAAAAAGAAATATGCTTTTAAGTAGAAAAAGGGGAACCAGAGGGGCTGGAACCACCTCTGCAGAGGGGCAGGATGAAAGCTTCTAGAGGACATTCCCAGCATCTCCTGTGCCCAGTCTCGACCACTCCCCAGGTTTGGGCCGGTTCAGGCCCCAGCTAACCCATACAGTGCCTTTGTGCTAATTAGAAAAAGACACCTCTTCTTCAAAACACTTTACTGACATCTGTTGGCAAACTGCATGATATTCAGATTTTGTTGGAACAAGACGCTTGACTGCCATCTGCCGGACAATGAGAATTGTAAATAAACAATCCACGATGTTGGCTGTGGATGTGTGCTCATCTTAGGGGAGTGTGCTTGTGCAGTGCCCAACCTACACAGTTGTACATGGAGACTCTAGGTATGGATGTGCCTGCACCCCTTCCTTCTTCCCAGGCTGGCCTTGTGCAGGATGGTACAACGTTAGGACCAACTCGGACCTGAGGGAGAATCTGCTGCTGAGAACGAGGCCTCCCTGCTACCCAGAAAGGAGGAGGCCAGGGGGTCATAGGCCAGTGGGAACTGTCACGGGGGTCAAAGGCCAGACCTGCCTTCAGACCGCAGATTTGGAAGATGGTTCCTGCCCGGCCTCTGCCATCCAGGAGAAGGTGCCGTGCAGCCACTGGAGAATCCGACACTCCGTGCAGGAAATGTGCTCACTGGGATTAGCAGGCGCCGAGAACCTGGCATGCACTCATGCTCTTGGTCCTGTCTCTGTGTATTTTCTCTTTAGGACTCTGTTTTGGGGCGCCTGGGTGGCTCAGTCGTTAGGCGTCTGCATTCGGCTCAGGTCGCGATCCCAGGGTCCTGGGATGGAGCCCCGCCTCGGGCTCCCTGCTCGGCAGGAAGCCTGCTTCTCCCTCTCCCACTCCCCCTGCTTGTGTTCCCTCTCTCGCTGTGTCTCTCTCTGTCAAATAAATAAATAAATAAAATCTTAAAAAAAAAAAAAAGGACTCTGTTTTGGCCTCTCTATTTCTTGGCTTTTCTGTCAATCTCTACCTCTCTTTTTCTATGCCTGGGTCTCTGCCAGCCCTAAGACAGGGTTGCCTGTCTCCATTTCTGTCTGTCTGTTACTCTCCATAAACCTGCCTTTCTCAATCTCACTCACCAAGGCTCACGGACACACAAGCCTGCACACACCCTGGCCTCTGGGACATTCTGACCACTCAGGAAGGGAAGCTGGATGCCCTGGGGTGAGGGGCTGCATTCATAAAAGACCTCAGTCAGGGGCGCCTGGGTGGCTCAGTCGGTTAAGCGTCAGCCTTTGGCTCAGGTCATGATCCCAGGGTCCTGGGATCGAGCTCCACATCGGGCTCCCTGCTCGGCGGGAAGCCTGCTTCTCCCTCTCCCTCTGCCTGCAGCTCCTCCTGCTTGTGGGCTCTCTCTCTCTGTCACATAAATAAATAAATTTTAACAACAACAAAAGACCTCAGTCAGCTCAGGCATGGGGAGGAGGCTGGAATCCCCACAGGGAGCCCAGTTCCCCCCACTGGACTTCATCATGCTCAGGCTTCACCCCATTTCCAGGCCCTTAATTGGGCCCCAAATGCCAGGCAAGCCCAGTCAGGAGCAAGGGCATGGTCCTCTCTGCTGAGGGCTCTCAGAGGCCCAGGGGTTCTCCAGAGGACAGAGGGTCCTGGCTCAATTCCTACCTGCACCTCTCTCCTGGGGCAGATCCTGGGAGAGGGAAGGGAGGGGGTGACAGGGATACGGGATGGGGGAAACAGAAGCATACCAAGATAGGCCAGACTTGACCTCTGCTTCTCCCAGCCCCAGCCCTCGGGACACACTGTGGCTCAGGAGTGATCCGAGAGTTGTCAAGAAAGATTCCCCCCTCCCTGACTTACTCCATGATGCAATTCTGCATAAGCTTTGCCCCTCTGAGTTGAAGTCTTTTTTTTTTTTTTAAGATTTTACTTATTTATTTGAGAGAGAGAATGAGAGAGAGAGAGAGCACATGAGAGGGGGGAGGGTCAGAGGGAGAAGCAGACTCCCTGCTGAGCAGGGATCCTGATGCGGGACTCGATCCTGGGACTCCGGGATCATGACCTGAGCCGAAGGCAGTCGCTTAACCGACTGAGCCACCCAGGCGCCCTCTGAGTTGAAGTCTTAATAGGAGACAGTCCAGTATGGTGATTAGGGACTCTAGACTCTGTTTTACCTGGTTTGATTGCTCAAACCAGGATTTGCTGTACAACCTGCAAGCAAATTATAACCTTTCTGGGCCTTGGTGTCCTTTCAAAAGACTTTTAGGGGAACCCTGTTACACTGTTGGTGGGAATGCAAACTGGTGCAGCCACTCTGGAAAACAGTATGAAGGTTCCTCAAAAAGTTAACAATTGATGGGGCGCCTGGGTGGCTCAGTCGGTTAAGCGTCTGCCTTCGGCTCAGGTCATGATCCCAGGGTCCTGGGATTGAGCCCCACATCGGGCTCCCTGCTCAGTGGGGAGTCTGCTTCTCCCTCTCATATTCCCTCTGCTTGTGTTCCCTCTCTCGCTGTGTCTCTCTCTGTCAAATAAATAAATAAAAATCTTAAAAAAAAAGTTAACAATTGAGCTACCTTACGACCCAGTAATTGCACTACTAGGTATTTATCCCAAAGATACAAACATAGTGGTCCAAAGGGGCACCTGCCCCCCAATGTTTATAGCAGCAATGTCCACAATAGCCAAACTATCGAAAGAGCCCAGATGTCCATTGACAGATGAATGGATAAAGAAGATGTGGTATATATATACAATGGAATATTACTCAGGCATTGAAAAGAATGAAATCTTACCATTTGCAACGATGTGGATGGAACTAGAGGGTATAATGCTAAGCGAAATAAGTCAGTCAGAGAAAGATAATTATCATATGATTTCACTCGTGTAGAATTTAAGAAACAAAACGGATGAACATAGGGGAGGGGAAGGAAAAATAAAATAAGATGAAAACAGAGGAGGAGACAAGCCATAAGAGACTCTTAATCATAGGAAACAAACCGAGGGTTGCTAGAGGGGAGGGGGGTGGGAGGATGGGGTGGCTGGGTGATAGGCATTAAGGAGGACACTTGATGTAATGAGTTCTGGGTGTTATATGCAAATGATGAATCACTAAATTCTACCCCTGAAACTAATTTAAAAAAGACTTATTTTTTTTAGAGCAGTTTTAGGTTCATAGCAAAATGGAGAGGAAGATACAGAGATTTCCCATATACCCTCCCCACCCCCACACACGCAGAACCTCCCCATTATCAACATCCCCCACCAGAGGGGGACATGTGTTAGAACTGATGAACCTACATGGACACGTCATGATCACCAGAGTCCACAGTTCCCATTAGGGTTCACTCTTGGTGCTGTACATTCTGTGGGTTTGGCCAAATGTGTGATGACAGGTATCACTAGAGTGTTGCACGAAATAGTTTCACTGCTCTTAAAATCCTCTGTGCTCCACCTATGTGTCCGTCCCTCCCTGCTAAGCCCTGGAAACCGCCGAGCTTTTTACGGTCTCCACAGTTTTGCCTTTTCCAGAGTGTCAGATAGCTGGAACCATACTGTGTGTAGCCTTTTCAAATTGGCTTCTTTCACTTAGCAAAATGCACTGAAGCTTCCTGTCTGCCTTTCCATGGCTTGAGAGCTCATTTCTTTTTATCACTGAATAATAGTCCGTGGTCTAGATGTGCCACGGTTTATTTCCTTATTTTTTTTTTAAATGGGACTAACTACAGATATCCTCACACACAGGCATGTACCTAGTTATTCATTTGTAGTTATTCACTGAAAACGATCTAGTCGTCCCTCAGTAGCGGGTGGGCTGAATGAATTACGGGACTTTGCACACACGGGGATACTCCACAGCTCCCTGCAGAAGGGTGGGGGGGCTCCTAGTGTACTGATGCGCACTGATCACCAGAGTTAGAGCACTTTGTGAAAAAAAGCAGAGTGCAGAACAGTGTTTATGGAAAACGGTTTCACTGTTTATGTGGAACATAAGTAAGGAAGCAATAATAAAGATATTATTAGTTGGTGTCTGTAAAGACTGCCCCCGGAAGGCCTCTGAAGAAGCAAAGTCTGTCTCCAGGAGGGGGACTGGGGGATAGAGTGGGGAGGAGACTTCTCATTGTATACACTTTTTATATTTGATTTGGGGATGTGTACCATCTATGTTTTTAAGTAACAAAACGGTTGTTTTTAAAAGAAAAAAAAAACCCAAAATGCAAAGGAAAATTACAGCCCCTCCACTATAGGGAAATCTGAGAGTCTGATGGGGTGATGCAGGGCCTGATCCACGGGGACCAGCCAGTCAGTGGGCACTCTTATGCTGTCCCCACTCATTTGTAGCCATCTCTGGCTGGCGACACACAGGGTCCTGCAGCAGAACTGACAGTGTAGCCCATTACTACTCCAAGTGTGCCCTGGGAGCTGGTTAGCAATGCCGAGTCTCAGGCCCCGCCCCAGACCTACTGGTTCAGGACCTGCATTTTAACAAGACTCCCCAGGGCCTCATGCACTTATTAAAGTTGTGAAAGCACTGGGGTAGTGGAGAGGAAAAGCAGAGAGAGGCCAGGCCAGGGTGGGCGCTGCCCCAAAGAGTGGGCCAGGCCTGTGGGTGCCCACATGGGAGAGCTCCAATCCCAAAGGTTTCCACCTCCATGTTGGCCCAGGATCTGCCAGATTTAGGTTCCTTGCCTGAGAACCCAGTACGGACCCTCCTTCTACTCCCCGTACTCAAGCCCACCCTTGGGATGAAGCCTGACGGTGGGTGGGGTGCCTCTCACCTTCATTCCGGTCACGTCGATGCGGGTCCTCACCTGGAATTGGGCGCCCACCTGGATGACCTTGGGTATACAGTAGAGCAGCATATTGTTGAACTGCCGGAGGACACGGAACAGTGAGTGGGGGTGTAGTGGTGGGGCAAGAAAGTTGCAGGGGGCAGGGCTTCCTGTGAGTGGGGGGGGCACTCCTGCGTCTCCCTCTCCTCTCACCACGCTCTGGGCCAGCTCACCGGAGCCACAGGTGCGATGAGGAAGGGGTTGCCTATCTAGCCTCCAATCCAACGAGCATGGTCACTGAAGGGTCGCCTCGTCTGTGGGCATTAGACTCACAGGGCCTTTCTCACGGGGGCTCAGGGCCGCAGGGGCTTATGGGACATTGCAGCTCCCTCCCCTAGACCTCCAGGCAGGACCAGTTTCCAGATTTCCAGGAGACCCCCTGGCTTCTCTAGTGCAAATCTGGGTAGTTCTTCTTAGCAGCTAACCTGATTCTCTCCTGCTTTGCACTCCCTAGAGCACAGTTTAATACTCAAGGTTTGGAGCCAAACAGACTGGGTTCCAATTCTGACTCTGTTGCTTCCTAGGGCCTATCTGAGAAACCCCTCGGTTGGAAATCCCTGAGGCCTAGAGGCAGCATGTGACTTGTCTAAAGTCACTTAGGTGCCAAAGCAGAGAAGGGCAGAGAAGTAGGCTCTTCCCTGTTTCTCCTGCGGTGCCAGGTAGACACCAGGCAGGCAGGACCTGGGGCAGAGTGGTCCCTGGACTGCCCTCTCCAGTGCAAGGGGGCCACTTAGCATCCCCGTACCAAGAAAAGGTAGCGCTCCATGGGGTCGCTGCGGCGAAAGGAGATTTTGAGGACCGGGCCTTCACGGAGCAGGGTGTTGGAGGGGTCCACTATGTCGTCCTCGAGACCCAGGCGCTGGTACACGTCCCACAGGTCCTGCAGCCGCTCCTGGGACAGGGAGTGCACCCTCAGCCAAGGCCAGGCAGAACCCACCTGCCTGCCGCTCCCACCCTGAGGGCCGGCGGCTCACCATCTCTGTGACGGCTGCATTGGAGTGCTGAGCGGCTGAGAAGATCATGTCGAGCGCTTCTGAAGGGAGGCGTAGGGCCAGAATTACCTCCTGAAAATGTGGGACTGGGGGCTGAGGCAGGAAGTCCTTGAGGCTTAACAAAGTGGCCTCAGGGCCTGCTATGAGTGACTGTAGGAGCAACCTGGCCCGGCACATGAGATGACTGGATGATGGGGGCCATTTCCCACCCAGAGTGGAGAGACTGGAAGCCCTGAAAGACAGGGCTTAGGCATTGGGCTTCTGTGACCATCTCATTGCCTCCCAAACCAAGCCAGACCCAGAGGGTGCTGTGGAAAGAGCACGGGCTTTGGCATAATACAGGCATGGCTTCAAATCCCAGCTCTGTCCCTTTCTGGCTGTGTGACCTTGGGCAAGTCACTTGATCTCTCTGGGCCTTAGTGTCTATAAAAAATGGCTAATAGTATAGATGATGTCTATGAAGTGTCAGCAATCAATGTTGATAGCTGATAGTTATTCCGACCATTTTAGCAGGTGCTCAATCAATAAAGGGGAGTAGCTCAGGCCTCCCCAGCCACGTGCATTCCCGGGGGCTGTCCTCACTCTGAGCATCAGCCCAGTCTGGGGCCTGGGCTGGCAGCTTCTGGACGTACTCCTTGAGCAGCAGCTCATAGCGTGGGATTCTCTGCACAGGTTCCAGCATGTGGTGTTGCAGAGTCAGGCTGCCGGAGGCCTCGCTGCTCTTGGGGAGGGATGGGAGGAGGAAGAGTGTGGGGTGAGAGTGGGGAAGGGCGTGTTGGGCTGCCAAGAGGGTTGGGGGAATGGGCGGGGCAGGCCGGCGCGGGAGCCCATGCAAGCAGCTGAGCCGGAGGTGCCCCAAATCCCTCGGGGAAACCGAGCCAGTACACACTGGGGGTGGCGGTACGGGCTCGGCCCCAGCCCTCACTCAGCCTCACCTGAATGCGGGTGATCACCTCCTGGAAGGGTGCGGACTTGTCAGTCCAGGTGGCCAGCAGCTCAACCGCTCGCTCAAAGTTCTTGACATACTCACTGTACATCTTCAGGAATGGAGCCAGTTTCTGGATCACATCACCGATGCGGGGGGTCGCGGTCCTGCAAGAAGGCCACCCAGGTACTGCCTTCAGCCTGAGGACCTCCTCTCTTGACTTGACAGGGTCAGGTTAGGCCAGGCTTTCTAAACCCCCCCCCCAAACAGTCCTTCTGCTGCCCTTTTGGGTGCAGGCATGGGGGCACGTCATCCTCACCCACCGTGTGTGGTCCAACCCCCTCAGACTCTGAGCCCCTGAGGGCAGATGCTGTTCTCCTCCACCCAAAGACCCAGCATAGTGGGCCCACAACACATTGTAACCACTTGAGGCTTCTGACATAATGGCAGCAGAGACCACAAGCCAAGCACTGTCCAAGACACGCGGCAGGTCTGATCCCACTTAATTCTCACAGCTCTGTTGGGGGGGGGGCGGTCATCGGCCCATCTTACAGATGAGGGAACAGCCTCAGAGGGGTAAGAACATATCCAGGGTCATACTGTGGTAGGGCCGGAAGGTCAGGCCAGGGGCTGTGACAGCAGAGAGATGAGGGGCCCCACGATCACTGAAGCTGGCCTGCCTGAGTTTGATTCCCAACTGTTCCACTTATTCTAGCTGTGTGTTCTTGGACAAGTCACCTAACCTCTCTGTACCTCCATTTTCCCATCGGGAAAAAATGGGAATGATGGTAGGCATAGGGTCATCTTTAAAAACAACAACAACAAAACCCAGGGGTGCCTAGGTGATGCAGGTGGTTAAGCGTCCGACTCTTGGTTTTGGCTCAGGTCATGATCTCAGGGTCAAGGGATCAAGCCCTTTGTCCGGCTCTGAGCTCAGAGCGGAGTCTGCTTCAGATTCTCTCTGCCTCACTCTCCTGCTCACTCTCTCTCTCAAACAAATAAATAAAATATTTTTTAAAAAATCTTTAAAAAAATAAAAATAACAAAAACAAACCAACATTTTATTGTGAAAAACTTTAAGCCATGGTAAAGGAAAAAGAATATAATAATGAAACCCTAGGGGCGCCTGGGTGGCTCAGTCAGTTAAGCGTCTGCCTTTGGCTCGGGTCATGATCCCGAGCCCCGCATTGGGTTCCCTGCTCCGCAGGCAGCCTGCTTCTCCCTCTCCCACTCCCCCTGCTTGTGTTCCCTCTCTCGCTGTGTCTCTCTCTGTCAAATAAATAAATAAATAAATCTTTATAAAAAAATAATAATGAAACCCTATATATCCAACACTGGATTTAACAATTACAGACATTTCTCTTTGGTTGAAGAATTTTATTTTATTTTATTTTTTTAAAGATTTTTATTTATTTGACAGAGCTTAGCTTAAGTTCTCTTTGTTAAGTTGTTCTAGCTAACTCATTATGCAAAAGGTAGAAGGGGAGACACAGTGAGAGAGGGAACACAAGCAGGGGGAGCGGCAGACAGAGGGAGAAGCAGGCTCCCCGCCGAGCAGGGAGCCCGACGCGGGGCTCGATCCCAGGACCCTGGGACCATGACCTGAGCTGAAGGCAGATGCTTAATGACTGAGCCACCCAGGCGCCCAGTTGAAGAATTTTAAAGGACACCTCAGTCCTCACAGCATTTCTTTAGCAAAATACATAAAGCAAGTAATTCCATCACCGAATGCTTCAATGGTCATGTCTGAAAATGAAGAGTTTCTTGCATCATCACATAGCAGGTGGGTTTGAAGATTCAGTGAGTTCATAGGTGTGAAGCCCAAGGCCGGGAGTGTAGGAAGCCCTCAGTTAGCACTGGCTCTGAAGTCCCTCAGCCCAGTGGGGACTTGACCCCTCCCCTCCCCGAGGACACACACACACAGCCCCTCAGCACTCATGTGTCCAAGCCCCTTACTGTGAGGACAGGCTGAGCCCAGAGGAGGAGACCGTCATGGCCACACAGCAAGGGTAGGGGGCCGACCAGGCTGATCCCTGTGCCCTGGGGGGCAGCACCCTGACCCGGCCGGGGCTGCGGTGCTTGGGGGTTCGTGCAGGACCTCTCACCAGCTGTCCAGACGCCGCTGCAGCTCCGGGAGGAAGAACTGTGCGTGGAACTGGTAGATGGAGGAGATGTTGGAGAAGATGAGCCTGACCACATCCTCGGGGAAGGCCTTGCTGCCTCGGGCCTCCCTCAGCAGCTCCTGGAAGAACACCTGCAGCCGCCACGGCCGGTCACTAGGCCCGTGGCAGAGAGGAGCCACCCGCACACCCGCCCAGGGGGAGACAGGCACAGCCTGGGGGCTTTTGGGGCCACTCCGCGGTCTACCGGACGTTTTCGCTTTCTCAGTCTCCCATCATCCTCGAAACAGCCTCAGGAAGAGATAGAAAGGGGTGTATTCTGGCCACTTCACGGATGGGCAAACGAAGGCCTAGAGGCTCAGGGACTTGGCCAGGGGCTGGCAGCTGGTGAATGTCAGAAATGAGCCCATCTTGCCCATTTCCAAGGTCTTGGACTTCACCAAGCTAAAGATCCTGTTCCAGATGCACAAATATTTAACCCTCTGGCTTGGGGCTTTCTTAAGAATGTGTGAAGGGGTAATAACGGTGAAGATGTCGGGCATGGGGGTGAGAGATGAGGATGCTGTGTGGGGCCAGAAGGTCATGTGTACTCTGCTCTACTCGAGGCCAGCCCAAGCCCGGGGCTGGAATGGCAAGTGGCATGAATGCCCTAAATCCTGATTTCTGCCCCAACTCCAGCCAACGGGGGTAAAGGACTGAAGCTTCCTCGGATCACATCCCAGGTCCTAACTCTCAGCACCAGTGAGGTGTACAGAAGGGACAATAGAGGTGGGGTGAGGAGACCTGGGTGCTGGGGCTCGGGGCAGGATAGGATGGTGTTCTGACCACTTACCTGGTCTAGTAGATGGAGGCGTGCCACATAGGCCTTCTCTGTCTCCAGGAGCTCCCGGACGATCTTCTTTTCCTCAGGCTCCTGCAGGTGGGTCGAGGGGGAGAAGGAGAAGGAGAGAAACAGCTTTGGTCTCCTCTGATGGGGACCCCGGGTGAGTCTCCAAAGATGTCCCAGTGAATCCTCACCACCTGGTGCTCATGCCCTCCCACAATGCATCTGGGCTGGTGCTGGGATCGCTTTAAGAAAGAATGGGGCAGGAGTGAGGTTGTGCCAGCTCTGGGCCTAAGGCCTAAGAGGCCTGGAAACTTCTAGGAAGCTTATGGTGTCTTGGGAGCCATGAACCACCACATCTGGAGGTCTGGCCGCCCTGATGGAGAGGCCACGTTGAGAGGAGAGGCCCAAAGACCTCACTCAGAGAGAAAGCCAAGGGCCCAGCCATGCCAGCACCCCAGCTGAACCCAGCTTCTACTGTCCCTGCCCAGGCACCAGGCTTGAGAATTGAGGTATCTTGGGCACTCCAGCCCCAGCCACCATCTGACTGCAGTCATGGGAGAGACCCTATTATGGGCTGAATTGTGCCCCCCTCCCCAAATCCATACGTTGAAGCCCTAAACCCCCAATATGACTGTATTTGGAGATAGGGCTTTTGAGGTGATAATTACCATTAAATGAAGTCATAAGCGTGAAGTCCTAATCCAATAGGACTGGTGTCCTTAGAAGAGGAGGGACAGACACCAGGAGAGTATGTTCATGAGGACACAGTTAGAAGACAGCCATCGATAAGCCAGGATGAGAGGCTTCACCAGAAACCGACCCTGCCAGCACCTTGATCTTGGACTTCCAGTCTCCAGAATTGGAAGGAAATCTATTTCCGGTAAGTCACCCAGTCTGTGGTATTTTGTCATGGCAGCCCCAAGCTGACTACCACAAGCCCCAAGTGAGACCAATAGAAGAACCATCCTGGAGCATTCCAGTCAACCCATAGAATTGTGAGAAATAACAAATTGTATTCAGCCACCACATTTTGGAATGCTTTGTTATGCAGTGACTGGTAACCAGAACTTACTACTATGATCACCATCCCCATTTTATAAATGAGGGAACAGGCACAAAGATGTTAAAGTACTTTGCCCGAGGTCACACAGTTAGGAAGCAGAAGAGTTGGGGCACGATCCCTGGCAGTCTGGCTCCAGAGTACGTGGGATCATGCTGCCTAGCCCTTAAACTCCACAGACGACCAAACCGACACCCAGACCAGGGAGGTGACCTGTCCAGGATCAGTCTAAGGGCAGGATTAGCACTAATATTCCTGGATTTGCATTAATCACCCCCTCGAAGGAGGATTATTTGCCTCTTCGGTGGGTAAACTGAGGACACACCTGGGAAGAGTACCAGGTTCACAAAATGGAGACAATTCCAAACTGTGTGGCCTTGGACAAATTCTTAAAGCTGAGTTTTAACGTCCTTGCCTAAAAGACTCCCACAGTGAGGGGGACCGAAATCATGCCAACAGTGAGGTGCATTGTAGGCATTTAATCTAAGGCCATTAAGAGGGGAGAATCTAGCTTTCAACTGATCTCTAGTGACACAAGACCCCTGCTTTGGGAAGTGCTGGCTTTGGCTGGGAAAGAATTTGCTGGGAGGAGGTCAGTGAAAGGGCCCCCCTAGCTCCCCACTTCCGCTCTAGCCCTCAGGCACCTGCGTCCCTGGCCCAGGGTGGGTCCCAGGCTGGCAAGATTTCCTCCAGGGCCCACTGGACAGCTTGTTCTTCAGGGAGCTCAGGTACCTCCTGCTGACCATCCTGGGCTCGGACCCCTCAAGGGTCTCCCCAAGGTTGGGCTCCTTCCACGGCTCTGCAGGTGGGGGAGGACTGCACCCAGGGTGGCGATGTTCAATCTCCAGCTTGCAGACTCTGGATGCTGCTCCTGGAGTCCTGAGGTGAACAAAACAGATCTGAGGGTTTCCTGGCTATAAAAGAGAAAGAAGGATAGCAATTCCCTGGTGGGGATCGAGGGGTGATTAATGCAAATCACAGATATGAAGTGGCCCCGGAGTGCCTGGCGCTCAGGAGGAGTTTGCTAAGTAAAACATCCACTTCCTTCCCCATCATCTTCTTGGAGGGAACTCCAGTCTTCAAAATGAGTCAGCATGGACTTGTTTTGTTTTCTGTGGAACTACATACTTCCCTCTTTAAAAATGCAATGAGGAACCCCTCCTCTGCATACAGTGCTTTCTAAGTGGCCCCAGATCACCCTCACCTGTATGCCTCACATCTGGTTTTGGTCTCTGCAGCAGGAAAGGCCCTAAAATCTTAGTAACTTATATATGGAGAGAAGGTGGGAGCCATGAAACACTCTACAGGGAGGGCAGAGTTGCTAAAGCTGGGGCCTTTCAATGGGAACTGTGCCCTCTCTATACCTCTAGTGGGGGGAAAAACCAGTCTGGAAGCAGTTTCCTTGTTCCTCCAGGAATGGGCCTTTGAAGTGTAACTTTGTGTGTGTTTATCCTACCTACAGGGTCTACAGGCTAGTTAAATTCTTTAGATAAAAGAGGCTACCCTCACTGAATATATCCCACAATTTGGGCTGTGCCCATTCCCTTTGGTATGGAAAGGCTTGCAATGAGACAGACAGGCTGGTTGGTGGAGGACACAGACAGGTACAAAGTCTCCAAAACTCTGAGAAAGGTTTTCATTTCATTTCATTTCAAGCTGCAAAACCAGCTAAGAAAACTGAGGTACAGAGAGCCCAAGTAACCTGTAGCTAGGGGGTGGCAAATGTGGGATTCAGATCAGGCATGCTGGCTTCTGAGCCTTTGCCCTAAACTGCCCCTCCCCATTTGAGTCAAGGAAAAACAGGTCCAGAAGGTCAACATATCCGCCCCAAGTCACACAACTGGTTGGCGGTAGAGAGAGGATTGGAAGCCAGTCCTCAGTGGCTCCTCATGGGCTCTTCCACCCCTGTCTGGCACCCCAGTGCCTGGTTCCTCAGCCCGAGGAAATAGCTGGGCCTCAGGCTTTCTGTTCTACATTTGGTTTCAGCTTCTGCATTTCCCTCCAAGTGCCCCAGGCCAGCTTCTGTTTCCTTTTCACTCCTCAGTTTCACATCAGCTAAGGTTCTAGGAGACCTCACAAGAAAGCCAAAGCCAAGGCTGCTGGTACGGGGCCCCTCACATGGTAAGGGGTGGCTCTCACCCTGCGGACAAGGCCTCCTCTGACCCCATTCTGGTCTGCGGGCTGCCTCCTCCTGCCCGGTGTTGCCTGGGCACAGCACACATGCCGAGGGTCTCCACCAGGCATGCCTGGCCTGTTGAGGTGGGTGGTGTTCTCTCCCCACACCCCAAGGGGCGGGTGGTGGGTCAGGACCGCGGTGCCTTGAGCTGTCCTCGGTGCTGAACTAGACTGTGCTTGGCAAAGAACCCTGGGAGAGGTGGGGTAAGGTCACCAGCTCAAGAAGCTGAGCTGCCCTTCTAGGCCCACATCTATGCCACATCCACCATGAAACCCACAGAAGTCTTTGTCTGCTCTGAGGGCCCTCAGCACAGGATCTGGACTCCTCTCAGGATATCTATTGTCTGTGACTTGGCATCACAGTAATTCCATGAGCTTCACATTCAAAGAGAGAAATCCTCCCGGCAGGGATCATTCTTACAGCTCCTGTGTCCACTACGGTTCCTGGGTGATGCTGTGCTCTGCCACCCACGCCCCGTTCAGGACTGAGGCTCTCTTCCCCCAGATGCTGGCGGTATGGTGGCTGACAGCTGCGGACTGGGTCCCTCTCTGGGAGTTTTCCTCCCTGGAAGACAGCTGCCTCATCCCAGGTCAAGTCCATATCCAATGACTGGTCCATGTGGACTTGCTTTTGCCTCAGTTAGAACAACCTGAGGGACGTCTCAGCTTCAGAGCTCCTTGGGACAGGATGGGGCTTCTGCTGCAAGTATGCACAGTTCAACTTCTCCCAGTGCTGCATCCCGCACCTGACAGGTGTCATTCCCAAAACTATCCCCAGTAAATCTACTGAAGCAAATTTCTACTTTAGAGTCTATTTCCAGACAGTTCCTAACACAGTCCTGGGTTTAAGAAATGCCTGCAGAGGGACGCCTGGGTGGCTCAGTCGGTTAAGTGTCTTCCTTCGGCTCAGGTCATGATCCCAGGATCCTGGGATCGAGTCCTGCATCAGGCTCTCTGCTCAGTGGGGAGCCTGCTTCTCCCTCTGCCTGCAGCTCCCCCTGCTTGTGCTCTCTCTCTTCCTCTCTCCGACAAATAAATAAATAAAATCTTCAAAAAAAGAAAAAAAGAAAGAAGTGCCCGCAGAGTAGATTAATGTCACACAGACACAGACAGACAGATAGATACACACACACACACACACCCACACACACATACACACACACCACCCCTGCCAGGGCCACCAATGACCGCCATACATCTGGCCCAGTTTTTTTCCCTTCAGATGGAAGCCCCTACCCACGAACCTAAAGCCTTCTAATCCTTCCTGCCTCTCTGTATACCCACTGTCTCATCAAGAGATGGGAATAGAAATAGATCTACCCTCAGGAGGCTGTTAAATTATTAAATGAAAAAAGTCACACAAGTCACTTAGAACAGTGCCCCAAAGGTAGGCTGCTGATACATCCGGGTTTGCCTGATAGTCTCAGCTTTTCCTATGGCCCCCTCCCCTCTGCCAAAAAAATTTAATGGCATCCACTTCCAATTTTAACTGTGCCCTGATTTGAACGATAAATGATATGGCTGTCCTACTTATAAAGAGTGCATGCTCGGTAAGTATTACTATTATTTTTGAGGGAGAGGCAATGGGTGGAGTCCTGCAGCCCAAATGCTGTGTTGGGCCCACCCACGCTCACTCATAACTACACACGTTTGGATGCTCCCCAACATATCAGTGCACACACCCTCCCCGCTGCCCAGCTCCTGGGGCCTGGCCACACTCCTCTATGCTGCAAGGAACCCAGGCCCTGCCCAGACAGGAGGAGGTGTCCAGGATGGGCCCAGAGAGAGAACTGCTCAGTGTGAGGGCCCAAGGTAGCCGGGGCACTGATCCTCAGCCTGGAGACTGGGAGGGTCTGTGCTCCAGGGCCTGGCGGTGGGCAGAGGGGGGCCCCGGCCAGGCAGAGGAGCTACGGGAGGCCACCAGTTGGCCCTGGCGACCCTTGCCACCCCCACCACCCCATACCTGCTGTTCTCAAACACAGTCACCAGATTGGACACAGATGCCAGCTTCTTAGTTTCTCCCTCCATTCTGCAGGCCTCCACGGTGGTCCCCAGCCACCCCTGAAGCAGGGAGGGAGACCTCTAATCAGCACCCTCAGCCACCCCCACCTGGGGTCACAGAGGGGCTAAGGCATCCTGGAACGTGCTCTGGTCTTTCCAGAGGGCTCAGTAGGCCTGCTCCCGGCTTCAGAGGAAGGAAGGAGGAAGTGGTCCCAGAGCCACAGCCCCGAAGGGGAAAGGCCTGTGCTTCCTCACAGAGGGAGGAGCCCACTCAGGCCCCACCCCTCCCTCACAGGGTCTGACCTTTCACTTCTGCACACCTCATTCCAAATGCCACCCTAAGAGGGCAATGGGGCCCAGAGGTAGTTTCTGGAGCCAGCCCATGGCTGATCTTGGCCAACCATGCTTTTGCATAAGGCCCCGTGGATTTTACTTGAGGCTTTCTCAGCAACTTCTTTTCTGCATCTGACCAGCTGCTCACTGCTGTGAGGAAACCACTTTTTTTAAATTAAAAATAGATCACAAACCTGTTAAGGGCTAGCAGGGAGGAGTACAGAGCTCTTCTCACCTCCCCACCGGGGCTCTCATGTTAATGGCTGCCGTCTCCACCTCCTTGCCCCAAGGGAGAGCAGCTTCCTCCCTGAAACTCCGATAGTAACAGCTAACATATACTCTTTTTAGTGCTTGAGTTTCTCATTTAATCCCACAAGAGCCTTATGAGGCGGGCCCTATTACCGCCCCCATCTTACAGAAGAAAAAACTGAGGATCAGAGAGATCAGGTAACTTGACCAAAGTCACCCAGTAAGGACACAAAAGAAGTCAGATTTCCAAAGCAAAGGTGAGCAGCCTACAATTCCAGCAGAGATTTGGTTGAGAACCGGAATGCCCATGTTCTTGCTGCTACATCCTCAGACTTCCCCGCTCTTAGCATGCTGGGTTGTCTCTGCTGGAAGCTTCCTCTACCACCCGGTCTCCCAGCCCTTCCACAACAAATGCCCATCACCTGTATTCCCCTGATTCCAGCCTTACTGGCCCTTCAGGGCTCTCCCACTGGGTTCTAGTCTCACTGGTCCTGAAGCAGCCCCCCCCCCCCATTGAGACTCGTCTTTGTCCTGGAGCGTAGGGACTGAGCCTTAGTCATCTTGATACCCGATGTGCCTGGCACAGCTTCATGCCCCAGCGCCTATAAACCCCTGGGGCCTTACACACCCACCTGCCCCACCAGCTCAGAGCTTCGCCTGAGCAATTTCTTCTAGCAGATGTCTGGCTCCTCCCCCCAACCCTAAACTTCACTAATCCTCTTCACTTTTTTTTTAAGATTTTATTTATTTATTCATTTTTCTAAAGATTTATTTATTTGAGAGAGAGAAAGGGAGAGAGAGCATGTGGGGGGAGGGGCAGAGGGAGAGAATCCAAGCAGACTCCCCACTGAGCACAGAGCCCAAGGGGCGGGGGGGGGGGGGGCTCGATCCCACCACCTGAGCCGAAATCAGGAGTTGGACGCTCAACTGACGGAGCCACACAGGCGCCCAAATCCTCTTCACTTTTTGTTTTCACTTTTTATTATGGAGAATTTAGAACACATGCAAAAGTAGACAGAATAACATAATGCACTCCCATGAACCCATAACCCAGACCCAACAACCCTCAACTCATGGCCAGCCCTGCCTCATCTGCAGCCACATTCACTCCCCCTTATCATCTTGAAGCAAATCCTAGATGTCAGACGATTGCACCCATAAATATTTTGGTGTGTAACTAAAAGATAAGGAGACACATATATACTCACACGCACACATCCATTTATGGTAATATTTTTCTATATATGCATACATACATACATATGTTATATACATGTATATGTATATACATAAAACAATATTACCATACCCCAAGAGATAGTTACCAATAATTCCTCAATATAATCAAATACTGAGTCAGCATTCAAAGTGCCAGTTTCCTCATAAATGTCATCCGCTATGGACTGAGTCCTCCCCTAAAATTCATCTACTAAGCCCTAGCCCCCAAGGTGTCTATATTGGGAAATAGGGCTTTTAGGAAGTAATTAAGCTTAAATGAGGTCATATGAGTAAGGTCCTTTTAAGGACTGGTGGCCTTCTAAGAAGAGCAATCTCTTCACACCCACCTCTCCCCACAGCCTGCACACTCTCTGAGGGGAGGCCACGTGAGGCTAACCAGGAAGAGAGACCTCACCTGAAACAGAACCCCAGTGCCTTTATCTGGAACTTCAAGCCTCCAGATTGTGAGAAATAAATTCGTGTTCTTTTTAAGCCTCGCAGGCTGTGGTATTTTGTTATGGCAGCCTGAGCAGACTCATCCATCGTCATTTTTTTTTTTTCAATTAGGAGCGAGGGGCACCCGGCTGACTGAGTCAGTAGAACGTGTGACTCTTGATCTCGGGGGTTGTGAGTTCGAGACCCACGTTGGGGGTAAATAACTTTAAAAAAATAAAAATCAGGATTCAAATAAAGTCCCCATGTTACAATGTCCCATCTATGAACTCTCTTTCCACTCACAGGTTTACTTCATTCTTTTTGTTTTCCCACACAATGCAGCTAAGAGGACACTGGGTTGCTGGCCCTACAGGTCCCATGGTCAGGACTTTGCCGGTTGCAGGGCTGACCCCTGGATTTCCTATCCACGGTGGTTCGGTCCAGGGGCTTGCTTAGATCTAATCTTTAAGCCCCGCTTTTCCTGGATGTCCTTCCAGGTCTGGGGAGGCCTCTCTCCTTGGTGCTCCTCTTCCCTCGACTGCAGGACCCAGTTGCTTCCTCTGCCTCCCGCCAGACTATACACCGGCTCCCTGTGGGCAGGGCATGTCCCCAGGCCTGGATCCCCAACCTGGCCCAGTGTCCAGAACATAGTGGGGCCTCAGGAGGCACGTGGAATGGACAAATGTTACACCCTGAGCCCAGAGGCTTGTCTCAGCCCTCAGTGCCTTGGGCTTCTAGAGCACAATCTAGGCACGACCTGCCCCTCCCGTGGAGCTGGGAGAGTGCACAGGGGCACCGGCAGGAGGCCAACCTAATAGCCCAACTCTGAACGTGGCACAGGCGCCATCAGAGCTGCATCGGCCCAGGAAGGAGAGCCATGATGCCCGAACAGTCTTCCAGGGCTCGGCCTCCCTCGTCCCCCCACTTCTCTGACCTCAGCCCCTCACTGCCGGCCTTCCTCCCTGACTTGCTTCTCACCTGCCTGCACCACCCGAGGCTCCACACAGGCCCTGTGGCCTCACTGACACACAGCCTGCACCACCAACTCAGAACCTACCCCCGGGCTCCACAGGCACCTCTTCCTGCCCTCCCGCCTCAGCCCGAGTATGCCCAACACCTTCAGGACATCACCAGGGACACGTCCCACCTTCGCCACCAACTCAAAGCCAGAAAAATCCCAAATTCCTTGGTATGCCCTCAAGACCCTCCCGGTCTGGCTCTGATTAACCTTCCCAGCCATTTCTTCCAGGTCCGGATTGTGACCTTGAGCGGTGGCTCTGTGCTATGTCACCTGAACTGGGTGGAACCCAGTTCCAGAATGTTCTCCCCCGCAAACTGACCGTGGATTCAGGAGGGGCCGCCGCCGCCATGCTGGCTCCGGAGGCCATGCCAGTGTAGCTCACACTTGTTGAAGCGGGTCTGTGGGTTCTCCACCCAGCTCCCTCAGCCTGTCTAGCTCCCGGGACATCTGGGTGGTTAGCTCCAGGACAAACGGCGCTGGCTGCTTCTGCAGGTCACCTCGGTCATCGAGGTTGCTGGCTTGGAGGTGGCGGCCCGTCCATCCTGCAGACCCCCAGCTCTTCTTCACTGGTTCAGTCCATTCTTGCTCCCCCCATTTCACATCCGTCTTCCCTTCCCCACCGCCCGCGTGAGAAGCTGAGACTCAGTGGCATCGATTCTTTTAGTAGCTTCCCTGGAGTGCCCGGGTGGCTCAGTTGGTTAAGCATCTAACTCTTGATTTTGTCTCAGGTCCTGATCTCAGGGTTGTGGGACCGAGCCCCAGGTCGGGCTCGTGCTGGGCGTGGAGCCTGCCTAGGATTTTCTCTCTCCCTCACCCACTGCCTTTCTCCCACCCCACTTTCTCTGTCAAAAAATAAAAATAAAAGATTTTCTTTAAGTAGCTTCCCTGTCATAGAAGGTCAAATCCCATACTCTCTATCACTCCTGGTTGCTCTGCTTCTTTCGTCAAATCCAACCTATTTGCTTTGGGCCAGTAACTGAGCTTCACTTTTCCTCATGTGTGAAATGGGGATCATTAGAGGGCCAACCTCCCGTGGTGGTTGTGCAGATTAAATGGGACAGTAACATGTAAGGGCTCAGAGTAAGGCCTGGTACAGAGTAGACACTCAGGGAATGGTGCCCACAAACATTCTTGCTCCTGACTGAAGACCTTTGCTATGGTTACCCCCTGTCTTGACCAATCAGTTCCTTTTCCCTGGAATGTCTCTACTCTGTCAACAGCCTGTTCGCTTCCTCCAGGAAGCCTTCCTTGTTACCTACCACTGGCATTCCTTTCCCTCCTGAGAGACCCGGTGTTCCTCTCTATTTATTTTGATCTCTTCTGCCCCACATTATTAAGTCATGCATGCAGTTACCAAGTATTTCTTGAGCACCCACTATGTGTCAGACTTAGGATAGAAGTTATAGATGAAACTCAGTCCCTTGCCCCTTAGCTCATAGTTTAATGAGGAAGATGGGCCTGTTAACCACTAAAATATAATGTGGGAAATGCTTTGAACAAGGGACCAAAGAAAGGGCATCAAAGTCTGCAGACAATAGTGGGTGCTATTAAGGAAATCTTCCTGGCAGAGGCAACCTGAAGGGTGAAGGATGAACTAACTCTCCAGGTGGACAAGGTAGGAAAAGGCATTCAAAACAAGGAATAGAAGTACCTGGGTGGCTCAGTCAGTTAAGCATCTGACTTCGGCTCAGGTCATGATCTCGGGGTCCTGGGATGGAGCCCCTGTCAGGCTCCCCATTCAGCGGGGAGTCTGCTTGTCCCTCTCCCTCTTCCCCATCCCCCCCACCCCCCCACTTGTGCTCTTTCTCTCTCTCTCAAAATAAATAAGTAAAATCTTAAAAACAAACAGAAGGAACAGCATGTACAAAGGGGTGTGGACTTGAGAGACCAAGGCTAGACCAGGAAGAAGAGCAGACAGTCTAGCACATCTGGGTGTCCTGGCAC